TGGTATTCGGTTTTGGTAAATTGGAAACAAAACACTTCAGCCTTTTTGAGTCTGCACTATTTCACACTTAATATAAGTGTCCAATAGAATATAAATATAAATTAGATGTTTTTCCATAGGAAAAAAAAATCCTCCCTGTTTTTTCCTCTGAAATTTTTGGTGTCTGAGTGCTTAACTATGCAACTTTGACATCTATAGTGCCCTTTTTGGTGGAGCTTATAAAACACTGAGGGTTTCTTGTAGGCTGTAATCAAATATCTTGGGCTTAACAGAGTTGGAGGCCAAAAACGAACACTATTTATATTTTATAACAAATATGGTCATGCCATATTGGCCCAAGTTTTTATATTTTTATTGCCATGTTCAAAAGAAGTGCTGAAATCCATGGTGTCCCAAACCATGCAAACAAAAAGTCTTTAATGAATTTCTGTCCCCAAACCCACAGAATTTCCTACATCTCTTCCACCCTTTGCCATGCATACTGAATCAGGATGCAAGTAGTTGTACAATGCAAGGGGAACCCATTTCTGTTGTTAAACAGAACTTTGAATGTTGAAGGTGCAGTCAAAAACCATTAGAAGAACTCAAGCATATCTACACATAGTAGGATGTGGGCAAAAACGTTAAGAGTCTCAGACCTAGAAAAGCTGGAATCCTTGGTCCTGTGCTCATGATTAGTAGTAGAAAATCCATAAACAGTCCTTGAAAATGGACTAAAACTCAGAGCTCACCTCTCCCACACAAGTGCCCTACCTTTTTCCCCCCTTCTCCTCCTCTTCCAGCTTTGCTTTGAGAGGCCAAAGATGCATTTTGTGAGTCTGATCCTTTCACTATCATAGGCTTGCTCAGAGCATGCCTGCTGGCTCAGAACCATCAGAAGACTTAGGGATGCTCACTTCCTGGACCTGAATTGCATGTGCGCACCAAGGAGACTGGGGCAGTTCTGGACACATGCAGAAGCAGAACTCAAGGTACCTCCAGAGAATATAGGTACCTGCAGAGATAGGTGGCAGCTAAGTGGTTATTTTGGATCAGTTTCAGATTTGGGCAGCATAATTCAGAAACACAGTGGTTATGACTGGAACTCTGATATTAAAAGTTGAGCTGTTCTATAGACATAGAAACAGGGCAGTGGGGTAACACTGTATGCAAATGCTGTGGTAGGCTATTAAGTAATTGCATGGATAATAACAGTAAAACAACCTGTTTTGAGAGAGAATATTGCTAGGGGAAGCTAGCTTGAGTTTCAGTGGTGGTAGAACTGTAACTCTGCTTTAGACAACATGTACAGATTTGGATATGAGTAGAGACCCTCAGAATCCTACAGGAATTGTATTCTGGAAGACTTTAATCTTTTCCCGGGAGCATTGGAGTACAAATGCTACTAATAATGGGAGGGCCCAGATATCCCTGGGTGTGATAGGTGACAGGCTTCACCAAAGTCACTTTAATGAACAAGAGGTGAAATTATTTAAAACTTGGCTTTAGTAGTTAATGAGGATATGGTAAGAGAATGGGTTGAGTGATGATTAATTGATACAGTAAATTAAATGGAAAGATAAACACAAGTAGTTCTGACAAAGGACAGTCTGAAAATAAGGGAATTAGGGAAGTCACTTGGACTAAGGACAGACTTAAAATCAGAGGAGACCTGCAATTTCTTCATGTTAGAGCTGCTAAAACTATCAGGAATCTGTAGCCTAAACAAGTGGAGAAAAAAATGTAAGAACTTGCAAGCCTAACTGCACAAATGACCATCTTGAGATGAATATTGGGAAGAAAGAAAGAGCACAAGAAATGGAAAAAGGACTGATCAGCAAAAAAGGCTGCCTTAGAGGTCAGGAAGTGTCAAGAGAGTGAGACATACTAAAAGCCAGTGAGTTGCATCTTGCAAAGGATAGTTAAATCTTTGATTATTTGAATACACAGGACAATGCAAGTAGTGGGGCCACTATGCAGTGAGGATAGGGTAGAAATTTAAAGATAATTTAACTATGGACTAAAATTTAAGTAAGTACTTTGCCTCAGCTTTTGGCAAGGATGATTATGATTACTATGGGGGTGGGGGGGAAGTTAGGATGGATAATAGAAGTAAGGGTATAGTCACAGAAATTATCATAACCAAAGTTGGAGAAAGCCTCAAGGAGCTTAAAATCTTCAGGCTTGGAGACCAGTAATTTCCATCCTAGGACTCTGAAGGAACTGGTATGTGAAACCACGGATCCAGAAGCCAGATTTTAACAAATTCATCAGGGGGAGGCGGGGATATGAGAAATATAAAGATAGGTCCATTTGGCCAATAAAGGCTTCTGAACACCAAAAGTTTATAGGATGGCTGCAGCTGATTTCATACATTAGTTTTTTGTGGGGAGGGGTACTATGTGTGTGCGAGAAACTGTAACTTGATGCAGAAAAAATGCTTTATTTTCCATCTGCAAAATTCATCTCTTTTTAAAAGTGAAATGCACCAAATTAAGAAATATGCAGAAAACACCATCATATTGCAAAGGTAATTTTCTGTGACCGTTTCTGGGCTGGTGTAAAATGTCCAAAGCTGGCCAGTTTAAGGCCCCGATCCTAAAGCTACATTCTATGCAGGTGCAGTAGCTTGCGCTGCTGAATTGAATTGTAAGATTGGGACTTACATAGTTCATCGTATAACTGAAGAACAGTAAAAGTAATTTATGTATTTATGAAGGGGGGAAGGGGGAGGTGCTGCAGGCAGCTACAGGCCTTTTAGTCCTGTACCAAGAGTTTGCAAGCCTTTAAAAGAAAATCTGAAGGAAAGAATAATTTGATCATGGAGACATGGAAAATGAAATAAAGGACAACACTGGTCTGCCAAATGTAGATAGTGCCAGGCCAATGAGCTCTTTATATATACTTAGTATAATGCCACATGGGAGATTGCTATTTAAACTTGAGTTAGGAATTAGTAGACAAATTGTAAGGTGGGTAAGGAATTTGTTAAAGGCAGTGCTGAAAGGGGAGGTATCAAACTGGGAAGAGTTAACTAGAGAGTTTCTCGTTCTCAGTGTTGGGATGGATCTCATTATTAATATTTCCATTAACAACTCTTGACAAGGTCAGAGACGACATTTGGAGTCAAAAGGCATCAGGTCTAGAATACTGGGCTATTTATATAGAAAGAATGAGTGACTTTGTGGACTAAAATACAAGATGGGATTAAATTTGGTAGTACAGAATCCAAGGCCGTGCCCAACTTCAACTATAAGCCGAGAAGTGATTAGTTGGAAGTGACTGAGGTGGGAAAGGACCTGGGATACTAGCTGATCATAAGATGACTAAGATGCTAATGTGATGCAGTCATGAAAAAGACAGGTGGATCCTGGAATGTGTTAGTTAAGAGAGGGAAATAATAATACCATTGTACAAGGCTGAGGTGAGGCCTCCCTCTGACATACTTAGGGATTTACCAAAATCATGGCAGAAGTGGGCTGGGCATCAGGTCCTTTAATCTTGCAGGTTCCTCCACACACACTCCTCCCTACTCACCCTACTACTTGTTGCTGACCGACCAGAAGGCAAAAACAATGCCATATTTAAAACCGCAGTTTTCATCTCCTTGCTGATTAGGAGTGAGTGGTGGGGCCCCACTGCTGATTGGCAGTCGGGGCATGCAGGGCAACCTCGAAGATTAAAGGAGCTGCTGCACAGCCCACTTCCACCATGATTTCAGTAGGTCTCTAGACATATTATTTCTGATTCTGGTCTCCCATGTTTGAAAAGGCCAAGACAGGCTGTGGTCTAAAAACACACTGGGAAGTAAACAGCAGGAAGAAAGAGGAGCTATTTAAACTAAGGACAGTGTCAGCATATAAATGGGTATAAGTTTCCCATTAATGGATTTAGGTTGGAAATTAGAAGATTTTTAAATATTAGAGCAGTGAGGTCCTTAAACAGCATTCTAATCAGTGCAATAAGCAAGAAATCTACCTATTTTTAAAATGGAGCTCTCTAAGTGTATGAAAGGTGTTATACAATATGGTGTGTACAGCAGCGGGGGATTGGACCCTGATATAGGAGGTCCCTTAAGATCCTATGTTCCTAATTCCCCTAAGTCTTGTAGTTGGATCTCACCTTAACGTTCATTACAGTGATCAACCTGCAACCCTGGTTTGTGCTTGTTTTGGGTTTTTTTCTCAGAAGCTTGTGGTTTTGTTGATCAGAATAATTAGAGGGAGGGAAAGCAAGATTTATGATTTAAGATGAACAATACGTGAAGTAGGACGCTTTACAGTAAAAAATGTATATAATGTAATGCTTTTTCCAAAGGGGCTCTAACTTGTAATAGACCTCTCTGATTGTCCCTGGAATCAAAAGCCAATGTTACTTAGATTTGAGGGTGCAGGATCAGGTCTTAAAACAGGATGCTGAATAGTGCAACATAAACAACCATACATAAAAATCATGCTGGTTACATGCACTGGCAAAGAGGTAACTTGAGAGTTGCAAGGCTGATGGGGGCAGTAGTTGGAGGAGACGTTGAAATCCAGTGTGACAAAGTGAATTCAAGTTTTAATTGTAGGAGAATCCTGTTATGTAGCATGGTTGTATGCCTGATCTTGGATTATGGCATTTGAGACACCACCTTAATCTAGCAGGCACTGACAAACTGGGCAGAATTCAAAGGAGCAACAACAGTTATCTGGGGGAGGAGGAGGTTTGAGGGACTGATTAACCTTTGGGGAAGAGTAAGAATGTTTTATCTACCTGGTCAAAGGACTGAAATAGAAAACACAATCTATGGATATGTGGAGGCTGTGCAGTGGGGCAAGGAGGTGTGGTAGGTTCTGAGAGCGCTTTTCCTTGGAAGCTGTTATAAAACTCTAAATAATAGGACTTCGAGACTTTAGTTCAGTCTTGCTGTGCTACTGAGGCGAGGGGAACTGATTGAAATGAGATTGATTAGCTATCATTTTTGCTGCTGCAATGAAGAACTCATCAAAAATAAGATTTTTGTTCCACTTTTGTTCTAGGTCCAACCCGTAAAATGCCTCCAACTGCCAGCGTCATGGACTTTTTTCAGCTATTTGTCCCTGACAATGTACTAAAGAACATGGTGGTGCAAACCAATATGTATGCCAAGAAGTACCAGGAGAGATTTGGCAGTGATGATGCTTGGGTGGACGTCACACTAACCGAAATGAAAGCCTTCCTAGGCTACATGATATCAACGAGCATTCACCACTGTGAGTCTGTCCTCAGCATCTGGAGCAGTGGATTCTACAGCAACAAGAGCATAGCACTTATCATGACACAGACCCGGTTTGAGAAGATCCTGAAGTACTTCCACATTGTGGCCTTTCGCTCCAGCCAGACAACGCATGGCCTCTACAAAATCCAGCCATTTCTGGACTCCTTACAGAATGGCTTCGACTCTACTTTTAGACCTTCTCAAACCCAGGTAAGAGTTGCCTTTTTTGGCTGTAAAAAAACGTAAGTATGGTATGACTAGGTTATGTACCAGTAAGGAGTAATAGTGAAACTGTCATGCCTATAGGCAACCATATTATGCTATGAAGACACACCATCCTTTAACTACTGCTGAACAAAAGTAGCTCTGTCCTACATAAGGTGTTTGCTTTCTTTAACAGGAACCCAAATGTTGTGGGGCACTTGCAGCTCTTGAAAGAAAAGCTCAGCCATTCGGGGTTTAACCTTTTTCAATTGATTTTTACTGGATGTGTTTACATGAGACTCTTTACCGTACATTAGACTAATCTAATGAGCATGAAAGCATCAGCATCTACACATACACAGCTATTACCATGAAGTAGATTAGTCTAATGTGCCATTTTCTAATACCTGTAAATACAGGTACTAAAAATCAGCTCATTAAATTAATGCACTAAAGTACGTGTGTAGATACTGACCGGGAGCAAATTGCTTCTGGTCAGCCTAGGCAGTAGGGGTCACAGGGAGTAGGGAGATCTGTCCCGGCTTGGCTGACACTACCTCCTAGCCACATGGAGATCAGGACCTGTCCTGATCTCCACGTGGCTGGGAGAGATGTCCCGACTTGGTGGGAAACTGCCTTCCAGCCACATAAAGATTGGGACCCATCCCTGTCCCAGCTGCCTCCCAGACACGTGGGAAATCAGCACAGTCTCCATCTCCACATGGCTGGGAGGCAACTGCCTGGCAGCCAGGACAGTTTTGCCCCACCCTGTAGAGATTGAGATCAGCCCCTGTGCCCCCTGCCAGCCCTGGGCTGGCACTTGGAGGGGAACCTGGAGCCCCCTTGGCTGCTGCAGGGAGGGGCAGAGCAGGACAGGAGCAGCCGTAAACTGAATTGTTCCCTTCAGGACCAAATGTGCTCCTGATGGACACATGTTCAGATGCATGCTGGGGTCTAGTTTAATGCACCTGAATTTTCTGTGCAGAAAATTCTGGCACATTAATTACACATGAAGACTAAATGTGATTAAAATGTGCTTACTCTTATGAGCACTGCCCTTCATAACACTTCCAACAAAACTGTCAGTAAAGTGTCAGAGGCAGAAGCCAGGTGAATTTTTCAGAACCCCAGGAAGGGACTTTAGACTTCTGGCACTGAACAAATTCATATGATGCTGAGGAACTGAGCATAGACATGCATGATGATATTTGTCTGACTATAGCTGCATAATATGATAACAAAATGAGTTGAGGAGAACAAGGAAATATAGTGTATGACTAGTTAAACAACTGTCCCTTGCACCTCCACCCATTGCACAGAATGTTAAAATAGCACCAATTCTGTGGGAAGATACTTACCTCTTTCAAAAATCTGAAATGGGAAGGGCAGCAAAACACATGCAATCTGAATTTTTCCTCTGTATACTTTTTGACCGTGTTCATACTTTCAGGTTGTAAGCTGATCTAATACAGAGATCAGCAAAGGACAGCCTTTCTTATCTGCCCAACCCTTGCTATATAACTACACACCCTGGTATATTAGAAAAAATAAAGGGCACTCCTCTGAAAAGTGAGCCATGACTAGAGACAATACTAGACTAGATAGACCTGATCTGCTATGGCAAAGCTTCTATGGATGTGCAGCTAAAAATGGGTAGAGCATAGTAGTAAATTGAGACTTGCCTACTTTGTGGAAGAGGAGGAGGAGAAAGCCAGCAAATCAGTATGGGTATAAAATTTAGGACAGTACAGTCACTCGCAGTCCAAATTTAAGTAGATTTGAGGTAGGAGGAACAAGGGAAGCACCTTCTCATCAGGTTGTGGAAAAAAATTCTGGTGACACTTCTGCAAGAGCAAAATGGCAAGGAAAGGCTGTCAGAATTAGGGTGTTCCTTAGGATAGATGTGGGTCTAATCCTTATTTGTGTTGATGTTGCTGGATTAGGGGTGAAGGTTTTACATAATCTGAAGTAAACCCCCATAAGATTGGACTCCCGTGGGACACTTTAAAAGTTCAAATCCTATTGGAGTACAATATGAATTGTATGTTACATATCCCCCTCCCCTACCACACTTGGCTTGAACCAACATGCTAAAATAATCTGTGCTATCTTTACAGTGACTAAATGTCTGGATCCCTCTGGGTCGTGTGTGTGTGTGGTTTTTTCAGGGGGACTGTTTTTAAAGGACAATCAAACTGTACTCCCTTTTCAGGCTTCACATTAGCATTTTTATAAAGCATCCTTGAGGTGGATCAAGCTGAACACCAAACATCAAAGCACTGCATCAGACATAACTAGAGGAGACAGAGTTTTTAATTCTGTCACTAAAAATAGTTCAGCTGTTAGGAGAATAGGTGTCCTACTGGAGGACGTTCCTGATCTGATCCTAACACATCCCAAGTGCTCTCATTCTCAGTGGAATCAATAGGGTTTTTCTCCAGCATCTCAAGAGACATTGCAAGTTGCCTGAGGCAACAGGGAAAACCTCTAACCCTACACATTTCTCAGAGTGCAGGGAATATGCTATGTCAAATATAGTGCCAGAACATAAGGCCCAGGGGAAAATTTCTGTGCAATCAGATTAGTATTTGTGAAGAAAAATGACTAGGAAAGGCTCACTCTCATCGGCCGTTGGATTTGTCAGATCTGTAGTTATGGCATTTGTTCTGTTGAATGCTAGCTTTTATCAAGGATTCTTGGGAGCCTTGAGAAACTGTTCTGTGCACAGAGGCTATTGGAGCCACCATTCTGACACTTTTTTTTTTCTGGATGGTTTGTTGCCTTAGAGGCAGTCCAAGTAGTCAGTGTCCACTAGTTTTGATTTCACTGGAAAACTTTTAACAGAAAATTGTACCCAAGCTGTAATTTTTTTAAATCTAGATTTTGATGCAGTATCCCCAAACTGGGGGGAGGGGCCATATATGGTAACTGTAGTGCTTTGTTAGCCTCATTTGTGGCTAGTTCACACACAAATTATAATTTGATATAGCATGGGTGTTGGGAAGCTTTTTTTCTTTAACTCAAAATGCAATAGCTCATACCTAAAAGTCCTGGGACAGATTACTGCTGTCATCCAGGGGCATCCGTATTTATAATGAAAACCAGTAAGCTCCTCTAAACTCCTGTGTTTATGGTTGGCTTTTGCTAAAGGTCTGTTTCTGTCTTGAAATCCAGATAAGAATCCTCTTAAAAATGAGAACTAGATGGTTTTATGTGCCTTAGCGCTTGTGATATGGAAACCTCTTGCAAAAGAAGTTCACAAAAAGTATGTGGTTGAGGTGAGAGCTATCCCAGTATTTCAGAATGAAGTAAGCAAAAGTAGCAATCTAAGGTAGTCATCAAGGCTAAGCACAGACAGTCAGAAAGCCTGAGGCTGAATTGATTTAGTCTTTGCAGATTAGTTTAAGCTGCAAAAACTGAACCAATAAGCAAATGAACAGACATTTACTTTTGATTCAGGAAATGCAGCCACATGCCTTCAGTGGCTCAAGCCAGAGGGTGCTACAGCACGGCTCTCTAGCACATAGCCAGCATGGGCTGTGTTTGCTCCCTTTTCCCACTGTCCTTTAGATCTCTGGGATTTGCAGTCCAGAATCATAGCAGCAGGACTCTGCAGGGATGCTTATCACTTCCTCTTCCTGTTTCTAGATGCTTCTGGGATTCATAGTCCACAGTCACAGCCAGCAGTAAGTAATCAGGACAAGGCAGCTCTGCACTTGGGGGAAGGGAAGTTTAACCCCCCTTCCTGGACCCAAATTCCAGCAGTGGCTTACCGGGGGGTGGGGAGGATGACAGTGAGCCAGCCAGTGAAGCCAGTGACCCAGCCCTCACTACTCCAGCTAGGGAGCAGAGGGGTGGGGCCAGCCCTGCTCTCTGGAGCACACAACACAGCCCAGCTCAGGGCTGCAAAGCATGCTGGGATGCTGGGGGACTGAGATTTAACTTGAACCAGGAAGGGGTCTGGGACTGAAGTTTCATAAACCGGTTTGAACTAAATCAGCTAAGTCTGATAATACATTCAACCAGGTTTATCTTAAATCAGTTTCAGCCATTTTGAAACTGGTTTATGCACACTGAGCTTTTATTCTGTTACAGGTTTAGACCAGTTTCTGATCACTTAAACCAGTTCATGTGTAACTTCTGTCCCTAGCCCTAATGATGAACCAAGTATACAACACACAGAAGGAAATCCTCATTTCCCAAAAGTTATGAGATCTGTGACTTGTAGCTGAATAGCTCCTCTGGCTTCAGCTATTGTTTTAACCAAAGAGTAGTAGAGCACTCTTTTTGAAGGACAGAGGAATGTTCACAGCTTTCCATTGCTTCCCAGCAAATAGGTTGCCACTTTTATCTGGAAAAAGGAAAGAGAGGGATTTGGAGGCTTGAGCATTGGGATAGGTGCTTCCTCTGTGTATCCCCTAGGTGCTAGTAACTTTAGGAATGGCTATGATGCTGTGTAGCTTGAAGGCAGGAAGACATCTGAAGGGGCGCTCTAAAAAAAATGTATGGTATTAAATCCCAAGTTACCCAGGCCTGCAGCATTTGTCACAATGTCACATTCCCTGCTGCCTCAGGCCTCCCTGTTGACAATAGGGACAGGATTCGGGCTTATGCTCAAGAAGCATGAGCCCTTATTTGGCCACTTGTTAACAAGGTATTTGTGTTAGCTGTGAGCAGCACAGGAGTACTGTTGAGCTGTTTGGATTTGAATGTTTCTTCCTCCCCCACCTCCATTCCTTTGTTACAAATGCTTCACAGTATTAAGCAATAGCTAGTTTTAAAGTATAATAACAGAAAAATAAAGAAACAATCAAATCCCTACCTTCTTTTGCTTTTAAGAAAAGCCTGTCTTTAATTTGCAGATGCACTGGGCAAACAGCTCTCAGAATTTGTTAGCTTTCTGGTGCAGGGAGCATTCAAGTATAAGACCAGAAACAATAGACTGATAGGGAAGGTGAAGGAAGCACCAGGAAACAATGAGGCAATACTGATGGGTGTGACAGAGG